CATGCCAGAGCTCAAAGCAGATTGACTGTCCTTATTTATGTGTATGTGTATCAGCAATATGTCCAATTATTGCAGTGAAAAATGTGGTAAGTCACACTGTAACACAACAAAACAGAAATTGAAAATACTACTTAGTATTTATTTTCAATTCACATTCTGTTACAGTAATAAATCTGTAACAGAATGTGAATTGAATAGAAATACTAAGAAGTATTCTACATATCTACAGCACTGGTAGATACACACCAGTTCTAACAGTAGAAATAAACAGAAAATCAACTAGAATTATCTATGGAATAAATATTCAAAGATGCTGGTCTGCAAGTCTGGTATTTCTATAAAGGATTCCCATTATTAAGACAAATGTGAACTTTGAATCAGAGCCCCAGTTTGTTAAAAATGCAACAATATACAAATAGTTGCCAGAATTCAACACTTTAAGTCCTGTTATCTTTGAAGCATCACACATTAAAAGTATCTTTTGTTCAGCTCAGCTGAGGCATGAGTTATGCTGGCACAGCAATTTGTGAGATATCACACCTCATATTGCTTGCAGTGAGTCCCATAGCATCACAGCACAGATTCCACAATGAAGTGCATGATTTCTGTATCTCGTATCAGAATGTGTGAATAAAATTGATCTGACAGTTGAAGCTTATCTTTAAAACACCCATGTTAGTATGGAAAGAAATAAGCACATTACTGTATTTAAACTCTTTTTTGTGAAGGGACTTATTTCCTCTTTATAACTCTGCAATACCAATCTTTATAGAGATCAATTCAATGATGGAGTGGCCCAGTTGCACCTTGAGTCACAGATGACTTGGAGAGAGCTTGGGTGCAGCTCCCATGTCACAGCCATGTCATTAACCAGGCTACTGAACAAACCCCAGCCATGGGAGAAGAGAGCTCCCACAGAACTGCAAAGGCTGAAATTATGGAATCCCTGCAGGGCCTATAACATCCCAATAGTTCTATGTCCTCAAGCTGAGTAAGGGGAGGAGCTACAAAGTTACCATTATCTCCTGCTTGGAAATAAATCTGGGACATCCCTCTTCTCACTGAGGAAAACAAGAGCTTTTAGCAATATGCAGGTTTTGGTATACAGCTTTTGAAGAAACAAGAAATATTGTGTGACATTATACAAATAATAAAGCTTAAAAAAGGGCTCTCATCTGGAAACATCTCATACCCATTTACAATAAAAGCCCTTTGAAGCAAGGCCTGGTAGATAAGCCTTTCTTATGAAACACACAAAATTTTGGAGCTCTAGGTAAACTACTTAGATTAGCCCAGTAATACTCACTTCAAGCATTTGTTTTATTTTTTATTATACCAAAAAGAGCCATTAAGCAAATAATTGCTTTTTTCAACATTAGATATTTTTCTAACTTGGTAAAATTGCCAAGAGACTCTTAGCTAGGCTAGTGATTAAATTCTTGCCCTGTAAAGTTAGTGTTTTATTTTGCTTGCCTTGAAATAAATAAGTCTCCAAGGTAAAATATAAATAATGTATTAGCATGGTATGAAGAGGTAATTTCTCTGCAAGTATAAAAAGGCTACGTTTTTTGTTTTGCATTACTGATAAAAGGAATTTTTTAAAGTTTATTTTTTATACTAATAGTACATACCATTGTTAACTAATACAAAGCTTATTGCACAAAAGTCAAAGGAGATAGATTTTTTTTTTTTCCTTCACTGTGTTTTAAAAAGACATTCCACACATCACATGTACCTGATGTCTTTTCAGTCTTTGGCACCTGGCAACACAAAACATTCCTCATGTAATGAGTAGTATCAGTAAGAACACTGCCTGCACTGCTTACACATTGATTTGTCCCTAATGTATACCGACTGCACTGATTCAGATAAAGCGTGGGAGATGCAAATGAGAGTGGGTCACTTCAGCTAAGCTATTGCATTTCTTCCTAATATAGGCTTCCCAAACCACCAGATACTTTGCCTAGGTACATTTCACCTGTATCTTACCTTTCCTTAATGAAATAAAAGGGCAAGTTGTGCCTCTCACAGTCATAATAGCACAGTGCAGGTTACTTGGCAATAAGCAGCAGCAACACTATGAGGCACAAAAATCTCTCTATTGAACAAAGCAAGCAATGATTAGGTTTAGAGGATTAGCAGTGTTTACTTAACACACACACTCTCCTAACAAATACTGATCTTGCTGACTTGCCTATGGGCTAATTGGGTTTTCTTGGCTGGGTTGTTCATGGCCTCCTTACCTACTGTGAATTAAAGTGTTTGAGAGCAACTATAAAGCACAACTTCTCTCTTATAAAGCAGATTTATGAGAGAGAAGCCTCAGAAAAGTCCAGCTTGGTAGGAACTCGTTATGTCATGACACACAGCTCCAAGAACTAAATTAATCTGGCTCCCATACAAGACCGTGACATTGCTTTACACAGCAACTGGGGGAAGGTGTTTGCTCTCAGCAAGTTGCTGTATGCAGTGGTGCTAAAGTTAAATTAATCCAAACAGGGATTTATTTAACAAGCTAGTCTTTCTTACTGGAATAAACCGCTGCTTTAGTTTTCCTCAGATTTCATGATTCTCCTGATTTTATTAAATCCTAAATTACTCTATCATTAAAAATTTATAGCTGAAAAGAACAACCATAGGAACACGGGCACTCCATGAAATCCCAGTTCTCAGTATCCCATAAAATCTCCAGTTAAGTTTTATCCTCCTTCCTCACAGAAATAAATGTAATCTTAGAGACAAATTTTGATTACACAAGCAAAAACTCAGTTACTATTAATTGGAGCTGTGCAAGAATCTTAAATTCCCCTAAGCCACATAAAAGTAAATGAGAGTCAGTATGATTGATCATGTAAAAAAGCTGCAAGGGCAGCATCATTGGGAATTCTTTGCAGGGTGGAAGGAAAAGGGGATTAAAAACCTAAGATATCACCTTTTTGATTCTCACATTCCTCCCCGTTCTTGCAAAGTGTTATATTTAATCTAAAGCTCAGTGAAATGTGAAATAAGGAAATTTTCTTTCTTTCTGTCCTTCTTCCTGACAATTTAAACCAACCCAAGACCATTGTGCCTGCCATTTTCCTCCTCTCACCCCTATCCTACACACATTTCTAGGTATACCATGTTCCCAAACTTCAGATCACCTGAGGGTTGAGACACAGGAATCAATTCAGGCAGTCATCAACCTTTCCATCTCAGTATCTCTAGCAAGACTTTTGACATGGTTGTTCTGAGGAAGACCAAAGCTAAGAGAGAACTCCGCTGGTTTACCCTTTATTCTTGAAATTTAATTAAAAACACTCTGGCAGCCATGGCTCTTTTATGCTGAAGTTTAACAGAATCTGACTACATCCGTGGTCAAGATAAACACCTTGGTTTAAAAGAAAGCTATAGGTGCTGATAGTTGCAGTCTCATGGAGGATGTCTCAGCACTGAGAATAAAAACAATTTGTGGCCCCCTTGTAGCCTCAGAAGCCAACAGACCTATTAGCACAGCTGCCATTCCCCACAAAAGCATGATGGATCACTTAGCATGTCTGATATCTTCCACCAGACAACTAATTCTCCACAGTTCAAAATAGGGAAAGAAAAATGAAAACAAAAATCATCAGTGGGACCCAAAAGTAGCATTTTTTGAGACAAAGTCATGCCTGCCACCTGGATTGGGGTCAACAGAAATACCCATGAAATAAGAGCTGAATGATTTAAAACATTTTATCACTACACAAATAGTAGAACAAGATCCAGAGAGAAAAAACAATTCTTCCTACCCCTCATGAAGCGCTAGAACTCACTATTTGCAGAACACTATGTAAGCCATCACGAGGTATTTGTTTTTAACCCCAGCAGCATTTTACCCTGCGAGTGTTTTACATAAAATATTGGAGGAAAAGGACATGAAATTATTGTTCTTAACTGACAGGTACCTTGTTTCAGAAGATTTCAAAGATCACCTGCGTTAACTGATGAGGAGCTCTTGACAGATACCATCTACACAGGGTTAGAGGGAATTTGGGACAGGAAAAAGCCAGCCCCTCTGTGTGCCATGGCAGTGCTTGTCAGGAAAGGTTCGGCAGCAAATGTCTGAAACAGAAAAAGCACATGCTGTCGTGGATAAGAAGCTTTTCAGGAAAGTAAAAGCTGATAATGTTAACTGGGAGGTCAATTTGCATTAATTAGCTGCCATTCCCGGTCACCATTACAATGCTGTATATTTATATAACTAGGTACATGACTGATTTTAGTGAAGTATTTGTCTATCCAAAACCAAAATCCTTCCACAGAATAGGTAATGTTAGGAGTAGTCATTTTTAGTCAGTTTTCACTGATCACTGGTCAATTTAAGAAACGCTAATCACGTGTGGAGGTGGACTTACAAAGCTTATTTTTGCACAACAAGAAGATCACCAAATCTATTTCCAGCAACATTTAACAGGTTCAGAATTATCAGCTAAGGGGACAGTTACCATGGGCACTTAGGAAATACTTTAATTTCATTTGCTGTTCCCTCCATATGTTTTGACTTTCTTGGAGACTGGGACACTCCAGTTCTCATGGCTAAAGGAGAAATCCCTGGTTAAATACTGATAACCCAGACTACAGTCCAGTGACTTTCACCAACAGAAGGCTGTGCTTAAAAGCTTTGTGTCTTTTTCCCATTTCTCCTTTACAAAACTCATATAATCTATCATGTAATTAATGCTGGCCGCATCATTGTGAGGTAAAAAAGGAAACAAGAGGCAGAAAGATTGGAGAGAGAGAAAGAGGTGACAGAAACAGGGTTGGAAACTAATTCCAGTGCAGTTTCATTTTGAAAAGACAGTTAGAAAAACTTAGTTGTTCCTGATGGTGACATTAGGAGTTCAGAATGAGCTTCGCAATTCATTAAGCTTTATAGTCTGCTGGTCCTGTTTGTAAAAACTGTGCACAGAAAATGAAATAATAACCTTCACTGCTGGTGTGTGAATCAATCCAGAGCTCCTGCAATTGGCAATGGGAAGATGGCTTTCTGCAAAGGCAACTTTTTTCTGGTAAAAAATTGAGCTCTCAGCTGCTTGTCACCACCTCTTCGCCTGGGACATTTAGATTTCCAGATCTAGTGGTGCAGATGACCATGCAGAGTACTTCCACTAAGACTTCATCCAACATCACTGATGCTGATAAAATAGCTGATCTTGTCTAATCCTGCTGATTTTGTACCAAAAGAGTGAAGATGAGTTCTGTTTGCACATCCATCAGACCAGTTTCCAAAGGCAAAAGAGACATTAGCAGAAGTTCACAGAAAGCACCTCTCCCACCATCACAGCTGTCTTTATAGTGAGCATTCATCTACAGCTAAAAATGCAGATCCATCTGTGATTCTGATCTACGCAGATACAGTGTTTACAGGTGTGGCAATGGAAACAGTAAGAGGCAGTTTATTTTAAGGCAGTTTATAATTGTGACTTCTACAGAAAAAGAGCTTACATAACTTTGCCTGTCTACCATATGGGACTACCATGAGAACTTTATTCCAAGTTATTTAACCGGAGTTCAGCATAACTATATACCTGTTGAAACTTCCACTTGATTACTAATACTGCAGTAAATATATTTTCCCACCAGATTTTATTTTTTTTAAATAGTCTTCCCCATACAGCACAAATATTTGTTTTATACCTTACCTGTTTCTTCTTGTCCTTCAGCTTTTCAAGTTTGTTGAAGAAAATGGTCAAATATATTATCCAAATCCACCAAAGATAGTGGCCCCCAACCCCAATTTGAAAGAGCTCAAATATAAGTTTTCTCCAAGAATAACCACTACAAGACACTGAAGGGGTTCTGGAGATCACAACATACAGTCAGGTCTTCACAGGTGTGCAATTTTTATTAAATTAATTTAGTTGGGATAGCAATGTGAGACCACAAATTATTAGCTTCTAATTTCTCAAAGACATTGATGTTTTGTCATTTAGTAACAAAGGACACATAAGCAGTAAATTATCTGAGGTTTTTCAGGGGGATTGTAGATTAGCCCTGATTTTCCTAACCCATAAATATGTGTAACAATAAAACATGTCTCTGTTTAGGAACAGTTCCAATATATTTCCTTACATTTTGCAGATTGACTGGAGAACTAGGTGAAGACATAGAAGTAATAATACTGGATTTACTAAGAATCTCACGCTCCCACCACAAGTAATACTGGCAAGAGTAATATCAGAATCAGCTGGCAGAATTAAGCCTTCTCTTTGACAATACTTAAGCACAGGACAAAGATCACTCTAAAGCAGAGGCAAAAGTTCAGAATACTAAATCAGTCCTGACACAGCTGGTTGACAGAATGGATTAATGGCTTCTTCAGGGTTTGCAGAAGGGGAAGTTACTGTGATTATCTGCTTACTTTTATATTACCATTTTAAGTTGGCACCAACAAACAACAGAAATGCAAAAGACCTTTAGCCTTGGGTAGTATGTGTAACAGTGTCCATAAAATGAGTTGGCAGCTGTCATGTGAATGGGGACAATCAGGACAGTCTGACTGAACTTACCAATTCACTGTCCTTATTGCACTATGTGTTTGATAAGTGACTTATTACCATTGCAGCCTACTGCTTCCTTACTAACCACACCAGTTTAAGTTTGGCAGAGTTTCTATGATTTACACGCCTCCATTTGCATGAGTGATCTGCCTTTCTTCCTCCAAGGTGCATCAATAACATTAGCAGGTTCTATTTTAATGCCAAGATTTACTCTTAAGGAAGTATAAAACTATATTGAAAAACTCCGTGTTTGTTTTCTTCAACACTTTTTATATTCTCTGTGACCTGTATAAAAGTGAAAAGCTACTATCTGCATTAAATGCTACTCATGCAAGCAGAGCATAATGTGTTATACAAGCAGAGCAAATCAAGTTGAGAGTTATGTTTTGCTAATGCATCATTACTTGTGATGGCTTTATATACACAGATCTGATTGACTGCAACTCTAAGCAATTGTAACTGACTAAGCAATTCTGCAGGTAAAAGAGAAGGAACACATTCCTGCTCTGCTGGCTTTAGAGCACTTTGTCCTAGGGTGATTAAACCAGAATGCACTTCCAGATTCAAACTGCATGGACTTACATAAAGCAGAGCAACTAAGTAAGATGCTGTCATTTTCTTAGTTATAGTCCCAAATGGCCTTGAATAAGAAGTCCCCAAATTGTCCTGCTTTTCTTCTATTGGATTAAAATAAATCCAAGTAATGAAATCCCTTCTGATTTACAGTTTACATTTTCTGATATATTTACAAATTTCTGATAATTGAATCTCTGTATCTGCAATGAAAAAGCTGTCTAACTTTTTTTTTTCCAGGGTAATGAAGAAAAAAAATTGTTTGCTTTATGATAATGAACACTTCAAAGCACAATTTCAACAGTTTGTTTCTGGAAATGAAAATCCAGACTAGCACATTATATAATTCAAAACTGAGCAGTTTTATTACTCTCTGGCTTCCAAAGTGTGATTGGCAGAGGCCTATCCTGGGTCATGCTGATTTACCTGAACAACACTCATCCACTTAAAGCATAAATATGTTGAATATCACACACTGAGATTGTTCAGCACAGTAACTGCTAAAGTTCATTCTTTGGCTATGGGACTCAAATGTACTTTACGTTTGAACAGTTCTTTGGCTCTGCACCAGCATCTAAAGCCTCAACAATGCAAAAGATTCATAAAGGTTAACAGTATATCAGCAGTGGATCAAATTGTGGTTGAGAAAGCTAAAATGTCACATGCAAGTAAGCATCCTAAAAACCACCTGCAACTGTTCCTAAAAGAAGCTAAAAACACACTGATTCAAATCACCATTTATACTATCACCATTTGAGAAGACACATGCTTATAGAAGAAAGAAAAAAACACAAGACATCTATACCCATTTTTATCGTACGCACTGGAGTGGAACAGAATATTTAGTTCTCTGAAGCATAAAGAATGACTCTGAGCTCCCTATATGATGGGGCAGTGGTGAAGGTCTGGCCTGTTTCTCTTAACTGAGTGCCCTTTCAGGGCAGACAGGGTCAGCGGTCTGCTAAAATAAGCAGTCCCTGCTAAGAGACATAGATGGCAGTATAAATCCTGCTACTTTCTTCATACAGAAACATTTCTCCTGGTCTGTCACAAGTGAGATCTCCTGAAGGATAAGCTGCATGCTTACTTCAAGGTGAACATCCCCATGAATCAATTCTGCACAAACTCCTTCACATGCCTTCACCTGTACTCAGCGTTCCCCCTGTTGTCACCAGCTACTAAGGCACAATGCTGAGTGAAATAAAAAGAGCAGCCAGCCTAGGTCAGCAGTGCAGAGAGACAGAAAACACAGACCAGAAATGGGATGTGAGCCAAGAGCAGGACACTTTGTCTCAGACATGCTACCAGAAAGTTCCTTATCTTGATTCAAGCCCAACAATAAACAACCTTCTGAAAATCACTGACATGTTGCAAAAAGAAGCATTGTAGAGGTGGCAGCTTTCAGGAAGGCCCAAATTTGAACCCCTTCCAAAATCTGCATGTTCACTTTCCTACAAAGACTTCAAGTCCAGATATTTGGATCAACATACAGTATTGGAAAACCCAGTTAACCTAAGTAAGCCAAGCTTACTGCTGGATGTAAAGCATGAGGAAAGTGGAATTTTGTTGCACAGACTTTGCCATCAAGAAACATGTCTGCTTGCATGGAGACCAGAGGATGGGCCAAGGGAGATAACACTGCCTGAATGGATCCCCAGCTGTGAAGTTCCTCAGGTCCAGACAGTGTTGATAGCGCTGCAACCTTCCTTCTTTATACAGCAGCACAAAAACATTTACATGATTCCTTAAAACGAGAGAGAAAAAATACTCAGAGATAACACTCCTGAAAGAGACACAAGAACTATGGTTTCAATGATTTTTTTATTTCTTTAGCTGACACTTTTTTTTTTCTACTGGAGTAACAAATAAAAAGAACTTGAATACAAATTGTCTGTCCTTTCCAAGGGAACCATAATAAATTCAAACAGTAAAGAGAAATTAGAGTAGCCCAGGACATGTGGAAACTATCTGAGAACATTAGAAGAGCTTGAGCTAGAGGCTGTGAAAACATGACTATTACAGAGAAACACATTAGTGGATAAACATTGTTTGTAAAAAGTTTGTAAAAAGTTGGTTCATTAAAGGCTAAATGGATTCATAAATGAGCATTACGGATTGACTGGGAATAAACTTAGGGTGGGTATGACAAGATGATTTTTAATGTTCCCAGCAGGGAGCTTCAGGAACAGCTGAGGAGAGGATCAGAAAAGAGGCTTGCCTCCATTTATGAGAGGAGCCATGATGCAGTTGCCAACAGCAGCTGGGGACCAGCGTTACTGCCCCAATAAGGCTCTTTGCAGGCCCTCCCAAACACCAAACCTTCAAGTTAAAAGGATCTTCTGCTACTCTGCAGGGGTCAAATGCCAATAAAGACAGCAATGCCACACACATATGGGGACAAACATGATTCTCATGACCCATGGTGTCTCTTTGTGCACATCACATTCCCAAAGTCTCCATCTTCTAAGGCTGACTGGCCTCTCCAATTACACATTCCTATGTCAGACTATTGAGGCTTGTATTTCAGCCTCTTCTCTCTCCTTTTTCACTCATTGACTGAGACAGGAATGTTTCAGAAAACTGGAAAGACTACAAAGACTGTATTTAAACTGAAGGGAAGTCTGGTGGAGGGAGAATGGGATTTAATAGTCCCTCCAGGGATTTGAAGAACCTTTAGGATGAAGCAAGAAAGCTACCAAAAACATGTTATCTGTTATTAGGAGTCAGACGTAAATGGCTGAAAGTGATCAATACAGTAGTCAGTCAGAGATTAATAATGAGCATTAACTTGGGGATTATAAAAAAAATTAATACCAAGAGATAAGGAAAGAACAGCCCTGCTGCCATATTGGTTTAGACCTGTTTTAGATTCCTGAGACGTGTGAACAAAAATCAACTAAATAAAACAGGAACATAATATTGGAACAGCTTTTTCAGTAACAGCTCATATTGGTTCAATACGTATCTTAAGAAGCTGCAGCAAAGTGGGGATTAGAGAAGCAGAAACAGCACACAGACATTCATTAGAAGTTTTTTTTAACTCTTAAATAAATGTGGTTCCTAGAGAGGCTCCCAGAGAGAACCTGAAGAGGAAGAAAAACACCATTGTGCTTTTCATTGAGAATTTTTTCATTGCATTCTTCTAAGCTGTCCCATCAAGGAAACAGATACATTTACCTCTCCCTTCAAGCAAATCACCAGAGTTCAGGAGACTGGCAGGATCATACCCTGAATACATGGCTCAAACAGAACCTTGCTTCCAGCTAGCCCTTATCCACTGAACTTTCCCTTACAAAAAAAATAGATACTAGCAAAGAATAATGGCATAAATCCCCTACGACTTTATTCATCTGTGAGATCTTCAGGTTAGCCAGGACACTGTGCCCCAGTAGTGCACTACTTTCTGGGCAAGTATTTAGAGTACAAAGGGCTCCAAGGCTACCAAAAGGATATAACTAAAATGACATGACAGGAATCAAAGACCATTTTTTCCACTAGGAGAGGATATTCACTTTCTATCCCACTTTCACACATTTCAGAAACAATGAGATTTTAGTTGTTAAAAGAGGTGATTTATGCATTTGTTAGGACTCAAGGAGAGTACAGGGGAGCATCTAGAGGACTTAATACGAAAATAACGGAGCAGCATAATAACAGATGAAATTTAAAAATGAAGTATAAAGAAACTTACTGCAAAGAACTGCTGAAGACAACTTAGCCATAAATGGTTTTTTAGATTGTTGTTACCTCCTGGAGGAATATTTTTAAAATAAATGCAGACCCCTGCCTTTTGCTGTGTTTCTAGTACAATTCAGGACAGCAGAAAAGACAGAATATTGTGTTATTTGGATATCTTGCATTCAGTTTTGTTCACACTTCCTAAGTAACAAAGAGCAAAAAAGTCTGGGAATATGATGAAGGCAAAAAGATTGACATATTTTATTAAAAGCCTTAGAGACATGTCCTAACAACATCAGAAAAACATCTTCCACACTAGCAGTTTGGATTAAGAATTCTCAGAGCTCTGAAACACCATGCCTTAGGATTATAAAGTCATCCAGGGTAGTTTTTTGTGTCTGCAAGACATCCAGCATTCATCACTGTCAGAAACAGCACTAAACCCCTAATCTGGTCTGATAGAACACTTGACACATACCTGAAGTCTGATGTAAAAAGAAGCAATTAAAATCTGATTCTAAAACTATCAGCCAGGGGATTACTTGGTGACCAAACCCATGAAAACTTGACACAATAAAAAAGCATAGTAAAACAAGCATAAGATCCTTACAGGGAGGAAATCTCCCTCTCCACTGACTCCCCATATGTTCTACCACCTGCAGGAGTGACTTCCTTTCTAGGAAGAAGACAATCCATGAACAAGTTTTCTCAGGTCTTGGTCAGGCTTCACAGGCTTCACATTCAACAGCTTATCCTGCTGCTGTACACAGAGGCCTCGTAGCTCTGCAGAGAACTGGGCTTACACTTAGAAGACTTAAGCCTGCCAAAGCACACCAGTTCCATTTCTGTCAGAGTGGAGAGAAATTTGCCAGTTTATGGCCTCATCTCTATTTTATACAGGTTTCTCCTTTGAAAATTCTAAAGTAAGCAAGGCTTTTATTTTTAAAACTCTCATGTAACTCTTAGTTCCATACTAGTGCTCATATTTCAAGCAAGGTTCTCCTGTCTGGCCTACACCTTAGACACAAGAACTGCATAGGCTTTAATAGATTACATTAAATTAGCACATCATCATTACATAAGGAGACCCAACCATACCAATCTCCTTACGAAAGGACTCTTAATTTTAAGCTTTTGTTGGGGCTAAGCTGATGCTTTAGAGACTGTTGCCCTTCTGATGTCTACATTTCTACTAGAGTTCTCACACACTGTTCATGTAAATAATAATTGTTTTACATTATTCTTTGTGAGAAAATAAAATTGATAAGCTATTAGTTTAACCAGTGCAGTTAGAGAAGTAGCAATTTTATCCTCCAATCCACTATCACTTTTAGAATCCTATATATTACAAAGTCAAAAATAAAAGTTACTTCCTTTCACTCTTTTAATCTTAGCGTGAGTGTGTGAGTTATTTCATGTCATAATACAACAGGAGACTAAATTCAGAATATCTGAATTTAGACTGTTGCAGAAGTACTTCTCACTCTACAGCTTGGATTATTCAGAAGACTACATGCCAACTGATCATGGAAGTGAGAGGACAGTAATCCTTGGCTCCCACAGATACACAAAGCAAATGTGCTATCAATGTAATTAATTTTCATCCACTCCAAATAGAATACGCCACAAATTCTTCCAACTGTTTGATTCATTACAAAGACAAAAAATTATGGAAAATGGGGTAGTTTTGACCAACTACTTGCCATCCAAAAGTTGAAATTGAGGCCAGTAGAAATTACTGTTATTATAGCATGTTTTTTGTCACATGCAATCAGACAATGTTCAAGGACATTTATTATACCTCTATTAATTTAAGCTTTCCAGTAAACTGTGGCAGACTCCACAATAGCATGACACTAAAGTTAAACACATAATGGACTTGATAAAAGAATATCCTTTCATTTTCCTTTCAGTTCTTGAAGCCTTAATTTTGAAGTTCTTTTCCAAAAGAAACACTTATGTCTTTAAGAAAAGCTGAACTTCTGGAAAATTGCTGGGGTCCTGAACCTTTCAAATGTCCTTCTTGGTTAACTTAATTAACTTTGTCCTTGAACTTAAAAAAATGCTTTTTGGTTTTTTTTTTTTTTTTTTTTCTAAATTGCTATCTTGACTCACCTCTATTTTAACCCGCTTTCACTATGGGAACTGGATTATAAGGATTCAGAATGATTTTTCTGATAGTAAGCCAGAAGCTGATGCAGTCCCATCCTAGGACAAGTCTTGCATTCAGTCCTTTCTTGCTATTCCATGCTTCAGTGCAAATTACCCCAAGTTCATGCACTTATATTTTATACTCGCTAATCCTCTGTACTCATTCAATCAAGATGCCTCTGTTGTGTCCTTTGTTTTAAACCATCATCTTATTACAGAGAAGTTGTATCCCACACATGTTATTTTGAGGTCCAAGGTTATTTTTCTGTGAGCCCACAGATAAGAAGGCATCTATCAGTCTGCAGGCAGCTACTGGGACAAGTGCATGACCAGGGCAAGTACCTCCACACAGTGAAGGCAGGTCTTGAGTCAAGGTTCTCAGTTTGAGGTCTGTGTTTGTTTTAAGCTGACAAAGAGTGACTCTGAACCCTGGATCTCCTTATCTACCCAGCTCCCCACAGGCCAGATGAAAGACGGAGACTTCTACCTACCCCAGTCCTGGGGACATTTTATCATACAATAAATGGCTGCTGAATAAATCTTCATGCCTGAGGCTTAGAACCACAGCATCACAGAATGGTAAAAGTACTTTGCTATTTTCACACCTGTTAAACTCATCAGGAAATTTATCACTTGGTAAGCCATGGCATTATAATGGTTGTGCAATTGATTCAGCTGGGAGAGCTTGGCAAACTCCTAACTTCCCACTCTGCTTTCTATTCTGTCTGAATTGGCTGCTGTCTCTACCTGTGCCTCCTGTAATTTTTTTCGCAGCTCATTTCGATGCTGAGCAGCATTGCCTTACCCTGTGCCTAAGTAGAACTTACAACATCCTGGCCAAGCAATTCTCATTACTTGGCATTTAAGAGACATTCTTATGTCCCTTGGTGCCAAGTAGTCGCTTTCACAGTTTCACAAAACTCACTCTCCAAAAACACAGCAACAGCCG